AGGCAGTACAAAATGCATTTAAAGAATTTGTTGCCACCCGTCCAGCTGATTTGTTTAAGAAGTATTTTGTGGCAGTTTATTGATGCCCAATAAACTGCCACTGCGTTGGCAACGATGCATTGATTACATGGGTGATTACTTCGATAAATACAAATAAAAAATACATGAAAAAAATCGTTTAAATTTTTTCATACAAAACGGCAATTTCAGTAAATAACCCATTAATTTATCTGATTTTGCTGAATAAATAATAATATAATCGTTGTTCCTATGCAGACTGTTATTATTAATCTAAATAAATACTTTGATATTGTGTTGTGTTTATTTATCCGATGTAAGCACCTGAGATTTTCGGTTGTTTCGATATATCCAGGTTGTTTTATCAGCCATTAATCGTCTTAGATGTAAATAAACATAAACATTTAACGATACAATTTCAATGTTATATGTCACATAAGTAAATTAGCCTGTTACTCATTTTAGTCTAAATTGGTAGTTGAGATAAATAGCTTGCTTCTATTTATTTTGGGTTTCGTTACTTCATACTTTTTGGCTTACTCCGTAAATAGAGTGCATCGTCGCTTAATTTTTTTCCCTTGTAGCCAATTGTAGTTGATGAAGTCACTTAAATCATTTTTCCTGACTCTAAAAAAGGGCAGATTGTATTAAGCGACATTTATCTTTGTAATTAAAGGTCCGCTTTATTTGGAATTAGCATCAGCAACTAGATATTTTTATTTAAATTTCAATGCAATTTACCACGTTCAAATATCTGCAGAAGCGTTTTTGTTATGAATTTTTTTTCGAAATTTCAAACTTTAAAAGGCTCTCCTGTAAAGTTGCAAAAATGTCGCTTAAACCAAATAGCCCGTTACCCCTCGATATATAACTCCATATCGCCCAAAATGTCGCTTAAACCAAATAGCCCGTTACCCCTCGATATGAAACTATTGATAATACAGCTTGCTATCTCTTCATAAACGAAATATAATGGATGAGGTCAATCTACATTATTTTAGAGAGAAGATTTAATAAGTTTACACTTGGCTGGTTTCCTAGGTTTAAAATAAATTGTTGTAACTTTTCAATGCAATAAATAATTAAAAACTAATCATACTCTCATCCATTGATTTGACAATTTTCCTACTTTTGGATTTTTTCTCTGGAAATAAGTATGCTATTTGACGAAAAAATATGATGACGTCATAAGTTGCGATCCAATCCAATATATAAATTCATAGAAAAGTAGGTATCGTTTTTGACATTTTAATAAAAGTATTGAATTTGACTACCTGTTAACTATGTACCGTATTATACGTAGCATTTCGATATCGCTAAGATTTTTACAAATGATGCGTTTTTTAATTATTTTCTTAATATGACAGTCAATTGTAATAATATGTTTGGTATAGTATAATTTGGAAAGCATGTCGTGTATTGCTAATAAAAAAATCTAAGTTCTACAGTAATGCGCAGTAATCTCAAATGTAAAGGCTGTGACAGACATAGTCATAGACACAGCTAGCTATAGCTAGGTATGTGACGGCCTTAATACTTCAGAAAATCCGTGGTATAAAGAGGGTGCCAGAAAAACAAAATGTATACTTTACTCAGAGTTTAAAATAAAGCAATGCCGAATAATGTGGAAAACATTTTCACAATTTAATTATCCTTTTAGTCTCTCGGCTATTTTTGTAATGGTGGACTTGCTGTATCACAATAAAGTGAAGAAAAGCCGGCAAAGTGCGAGTCGTATTTGAGCACGTAGGGTTGCGGAGCTGCGAACCACTTAACGGGTTATCGGGGCTCCAGCTCAAACCAGGAGTAGGAATGGGATGGTTTTTAGTCAGTAAGAGACACTCTGTCTCGCTTCGCTCAAGGCAGGTAGAAGTAAGTCATTGGATCATTTTCCACCCTCAAAAAAAGGGTTGGGTACTATAGACTAGGCAAACTTTTAAATAGGGGGAAATAAATTGCGTTTGTAGTATGGAAGTCCACTTAAATATTTAATTTTAATTTGTTTTTATTATTTGTTGTTATAGCGGCCAACAAAAGTACCGCATAATATTTCCTTGTTTCGTTACAAAAACAATGTAAGGTGTAATGGAAGTCCAATCAAACGAGTATGAGCTGAAGTGCGAGGTGAGCTAAGCGCTGAGACCTTCGATTTTCTTTCATTCCATTCTTGTAGCGACTTGTAACTCCTACGCAGAGGCCCTTGATCTAAGCCATAATGTAAACAAAAAGAGCGAACTTCTAATATTTAAAGTAGGTGTTATACAATATTCTGATGTTCCTGGTTTCTTGCTCTATGGCACTTCTTTGAATTGGGTGACTAAGTTTAAGTACTGTGGGTCTTTGGGTCGCTGATCATCTTAAGGACAATGGCGATGTCGAGAGGGAACGCAGATCGCTGGCTGTTCGATGTGATGTGCTGGTTCGAAGTTTGCACGTTGTTCAAAAAACCGGTAAATTCACATTTTAAAGCTTCTTTTTACTAGTGCAGTCTTTGGATTTACGCACTTATACGTAGAGGGCATACAAGGGTCTGCGTGTCCAATATACTGCACGGTTGGTGCGGCGGCTGGGCAACCGGCTGCCGTGCAACGTGTCGCGGGTTCGATTCCCGCACGGAACAACACTTTGATCCACAAATTGTTGTTTCGGGTCTGGGTGTTATGTGTATGTGAACTTGTATGTTTGTAAACGCACCTACGACACAGGAGATAATCCTAGTGTGGGGCAACGTTTCGTTATAAAAAAATAATAATAAGGCATTCAGGATGCTGTTGGGACATGCGACATGCGGCGATTTAGAGCGTCCGCTTTGTTTATAGAGGCGCACACGGATGATTTTAACGCCATCATGAGGAACATGAGCATGTCTATGAATAGGAGGCTGCGTACCGCCATTAACAGTTTCCTGAACGTATCCAAAGACCCAATGGATTGTTCTCCACTGCGCTACTAGGTCAAAATTCGCTTATTTTATAAATCTATAAGTTACTAACACCCGTTTTTTTAACCGACTTCAAAAAAACGGAAGCAGGTTCTCAATTCGACAGTATATATGCTTTTTTTAGGTTATTATGTATACTAATACAGGATTTGAATTAGCAATACCTAAATTTTTTGTGAAAACCACTGGTTAGCTAACGTGATTCTTGCCATACAGTCTGGTGACCAAAGAGACGAGACAACAAAATCTTCGTTACAGGGTACCATTTTTAAGCTTTCCAAACGGAACCCAAAAGAGAGATTGTATGGAATAGGCTGGGTAAGCGCAGCGCAAATGATATTACTGGGATTTACATTGTGATTTAATTTCTATAGTCAGCCTCGTAATATGCAAATACATTGTTTAAATATATCATTTTTAAGGTAATTTTATGCTAATATTTATTGCAACGAGCCAGTGTAATGATGGAATCAACATAATATTTTGTTTGCTGTGTCGACGTTGTTGGAATAATGTGCAGCTTAATAATAATGGGATCGTACGTATTTTCCTGTTGTTCTGTAAGCAGTTTTAAGAGTAATTAGACTAAACGAGTTTATTTACTTAAGGTACCTCGTTTGTTGGTTTCGGTCATATTTAGTGATTAGAATTATACCCACTTTCTGACGATAGATCGATCTGATATTTAATACACACTCTTTATCTTGATGTCCATACCGACAATTTACTTAATCTATTTTTTTCCACAACTACCTCCATTGTGGATATAAAACTAAAGGCCGTAATTGATAAAACAATACTTGTTCTTTTATTATGTAGTATAAAAGTATTTTATAGAATGATAATAAATATGATCGCGGATTTTTGTCGCAATAAATGAATTTAAGTAATTTAAGTTCAATATCCATGTAACTTTCTACACTACTTTCTAAGATAATATAAATACCTAAGTCTACGTTAGTTGACACTAAAATCTACTCCTAAGTATAACAAAAACTTTCCTGGAAACCGTATTAAAATAGGTTCAGCCCATCTCGAGATAATTGCGGAGAAACATCGAAGATAGATAGATACATACAGATTAACTCGTCGAGTACCGTCATTATAGACACAATTATAGAACAATAGGTTGCGGTCACCGGTGACCGCTTGGTGTTTGACAGTTTAAACTGAGAGTGAGAACCTCCTTCATTTTTGAAGTCAAAACAATGATTTTCAAAGAGGCTTAAAATATTTCAGCACATATACATAAACACAACATCAAGTCTTTTATCCTCGAAGGGGCAGGCAGAGGCGCGCGCATTACGGCACGTAATGCCACTGAACAATGTAACAGCTACTTTTCATTATTTATTTTATGAGTCCTGTGTAATAGGGGGTGAGCCTATTGCCATATATCGGACACAATTCCAGACTCCGTGCTACAACTTAGAGTTTTATTAAAAATCTCAGTAATACCTACTTTGCCCGACCCGGGAATCCAACTCGGGACCCCTTGCCCGGCAATCGCATTTGCGAACTCTCGGCCAACGAGGCAACACATGGTATAATATTAAAATAAACTTGTTTATTAATTCCCGTTACTATTTTGTAATCACATCCGTTGTTATTTTGCAGCTTCAACGTCATGTTTCATGTGATTAACAAAATGGATGAAAAGTGGATGTTTCATTTAATATTGAGTAGATATGCATTTTGCAGAAACTTCTTCAGTGTGTAAATAAAACCACGCTTTTTAAATAGGTTTTTTTACTCTTAATCTAAGTGCAAACTTCAATATTAAAATGTTGTCTTAGCATCTATATTTAGAATGTTTTATACACATTATTAAATTTTCCTGGTCGTGTTAACACAAAAAAAAGAAGTAACATTATTTTTATCAATATCCACGTTCTTGTCTAATCTACAAAACAAATGAAATACATTAATGCTACGAATTTTTCGACTTCGCGTTGATAGTGTTAAAAATATTGATAACAATCTTATCATTGAATTGGACGTCCGTGGTCAAATATAACCGATTTCACCGCTATTGTTTGGCTTGTATGTATGTCCATTCGCAGTTTACGTTTCGGTAACAATGTACGTGTATGTTATCATCAGCTCGCCATATTCCGCACACACTCGTGTTTCAGTCACCTTAACGGAGGTATACAAGCCGACTCATAACAGACGACTAGCACAGTATGTACTGTGACTAATACCTACTAAGGTCTAAAATATCGTATCACACATGGAATTACGTAGTTCCTTTTTATTACGGTTTTAATAGTGTCTTTTATGTTTCACATTAGTGCTCCTTAATGTTCGTATTCTTAAGTAAAATGAATGCAAGCTACAAGTGGTTTTGGAAAAAGAAGTGCGGTTTTATGTGTGAAATTATCAGTGAATATAGAAAATAATTAAATATTAATACTTATTAGTGTACTGTGTGACTTAGACGGGAACAAAATTAAGTTAAAAACAACATGTTTAAAAAGAAAACTGTCATATTGTTCATATTTGGTGTTTCTGTGATCGTTCCTTTTGCATATCATTTTGTTGGATATACAGAGGCTCAAAGACTTATATATCATGTGCATGATTCGAACGCGTTCAATTTTAATGCACTTCGCACGGTAAGTACTTCGTACATAATATTTATCAATTGTTTGATACCACGATAAAGCAAATAAATTGTTTCTGGTAAAAAATAATTACATATTAAATATGAAGATAAAGATTCAAGTATAATTGCTTTACTTGATGAATCCATAATTTCTGTAAAGGTTAGTTGTAGGTACCTAATTCATAATCACATAAAATGACCTCATGGATGGTAGAGGATAGCTACCCTAATGTAGACACAGTATTATATAGGTACAATGTAGATTCAGAACTGCATCTTTACCACTTTCTGACATTGTGTGAAGGAGCTACTTTGTATGTAATGTATCCAAAACACTGCGTTTGTTGTGACTATCGGTTTATTGTTTTATGCCTTGACACCATAGCTACGCTCAAAGGTGCCCATGAAGTTAGAATTAACTCGTCGAGTACCGTCATTATAGACACAATTATAGAACAATAGGTTGCGGTCACCGGTGACCGCTTTGTGTTTGACAGTTTTTAAATGAGTTTCTATAAATAATCTATTTGAGATAGAGCTCAAGCAATATTTAGGTCGGATAATATATTATTCGGCTTTTAAATTTTAGCTTGAACTAACCTCAAGTAGATATTTACTCAGTGTATGAAAATTGTTTCATTTAGAGTTATTTTGTTGCAAAATTGTACCTACATATCTAACTGAAACCATTTTCGATTCAGTAAAATAGTTTTATCTACTACCGTTGGCCTTGAAAATCGATACTGACATAAAGAAAAACCAGACGCGTAACTAAATTAACTCGTCGAGTACCGGTTTTGCAGACACAATTATAGAACAATAGGTTGCGGTCACCGGTGACCGCTTGGTATTTGACAGTTTAATAAACATAGCTACACCGAGCCTGTGACAAATTTATACATGTAGTAAGTATTGTCCAGGTAATTTTCAGACTGCTCCGCGGTAATTTTTCGGGTCGGGCTTTTTTTTTAAGGGGATAAAAGCATCCAATGAATTCTCCTGCCTGGGTGAAGCGGGAGGGAGTGTCAGACTCTTACTGACTAAAAATCACCCCGTTCCTTCTCCTGCACTTCGAGCTGGAGCCCCGGTAACCCGTTAGGTTCTCCGCGACTTCGGGTCGGGCTTTTTTTTTTCTTTATTTTTTTTTAAGGGGGGAAAATCATCGAATGACTGCTCCCGCCTGGGTGAGGCGGAAGGGAGTGTCAGACTCTTACTGACTAAAAACCACACCGTTCCTTCTCCTGCACGTCGAGCCGGAGCCCCGGTTACCCGTTAGGTTCTCCGCGACTCCGAATCGGCATCGGCCCTATTGGGCCCCATCTGTGGTGGTCTGATGGCTCTTTGAGGCGCGCGCGGAACGCGACGCGCCGTACGCTCGGGTCTGTTTCTGGTCGGACGGGGAGCCACCCATGCTCGCCGTCCGCAGGCCCGCGCTTACGGTGGCCGGAGATCGTCCCGCGATCCCCGACGCCCGGTGTGTCCTTCGCGATGGCTGGGTTGCGAGGAGGCAGCGCTTCGCTGCCTCACGCGTCCCGCCTCCTCCTTAGCTAGCATGACTGCTTCGCAAAAGGAGGAGACGGCATCCCAATCCCCCTCGCTCCGCATCATGGCCTGCACTAGGCCCGGACGCGAGAGGTCGCCATCGCCGATCACTTCCCTGAGGACACGGCGGTGCTCAGCCCACGAAGGGCATTCTCCCACCGTGTGTTCCACCGTGTCCTCAGGGCGGTCCTCGCAGTGATGACACCCGGGCGTTTCCTCCCGCCCCATCAGACACAGGTACCTCCCGAAACTTCCATGTCCGGTGAGGACCTGCGTCAGGCGGTAGGTGAGGACGCCGTAGCGTCTCTCAAGCCACTCCTCAAAGAGGGGACTTACCGCTGCGATGGCAGCGAGCCCAGCCCTCGGTTGCGACAGTCGTTGCTGCCATTCCGCCATGAGATCGCGCCGGAGCTCATCCCGCCACGCACTTATCTGGCGCGGCAGCGGAGTTTCGCCCCGGTGACGTGCCTCCGCGCGCATGCTGTACACGCGCGCGAGCACCTTCGTCTCCAGATCCCACGGCGGTAGTCCGGCAAGGAGGTTCGCCGACTCCCCAGAGATCGTGCGGTATCCGCGGATCATTCGGATCGCCATGACCCTCTGTGCCATGAGCAGCGTCCGAGCGGGACGCCGCAAGAGGTTTGGCGCCCAAACAGGGGCGCCGTAGAGGGCCATGGACCGCACCCGGGTCGGGCTAAGAATTAATTGATAGTGGACGACGTGCTCCATCGTAGACCGCATCATCGCATACCACCAGGAAAGTTAGTGGTCAAACGTCGGCTCTTCCAAATAAAAAAAAAAAAATGTTTATCACATTTATTTTGTTATTTTATTAGTTTAGAAATGTAATCAACTAGTTAGTTTCAAGTTCCACTAGGACTCAAAGTCAAAGTCAAAATCATTTATTTCAATTAGACCAGGAAGGCACTATTGAAAGTATACAACAAAAATTCAGAAGTGAAGCTAGTTGCTCATACTGTTACCGGTCACTAGTGGTTCTTTAATAGTTACCCAATCCAATAGCTAGAAACCTAGTACCTACATCTATGTTAATCATCTAAGAGTATACGTACCTCGTACCTCGTACGTAATAGTAGCCCGGAGGTTTATGACGCACTTCTCATACTGAGGGTGCTGGTTCGAAACATACCAACGGCAAGTACCAATGTGACTTTTTCCGAGTCATATGTACTTTCTAAGATTATTTAGACACCATCGACAAACGGTGAAGGAAGACATCGTAAGGAAACCTGGACTTTATAATTTCTAATTATAAGTTCGAAATCACCAACACGCATTGAGCAAGCGTGGTGATTAATGCTCCAACTTTCTCCGTGTGAGAAGAGGCTTTGCTCAGCAGTGGGCATTTATAGGCTGTTGATGATGATAAGTACCTCGTAGACTGCCTCGTTGGCCGAGTGGTCGCAAGTGCGACTGCTGGGCATGGGGTTTCGGTTTCGAGTCTCGGGTTCGAGCAAAGTAATATTGGGTTTTTAAAAATCTCAGTAGTAGCACGGAGTCTAGAATTGTGCCCGGTATATGGCAATAGGCTCACCCCCTATTACATGGGACTCATAACATAAATAGTGAAAAGTGTGTGTTACATTGTATAGTGTCATATTGTACACTTCTGCCTACCCCTTCGGGGATAAAAGGCGTGTTTCTTATGTTAGTATAAGTACCAGCGAGGTTCTTTATAGTAGAGCTCTATCTTTATAAGTTATTCGCTTTACAAATCTATATATTATAAACATAGGCATTTCTAGTAATACTTAATATGTTACGTTAACGTAAATAATGTTTTTACACAGAATTTGTACTAGATATAAGTAGTTGATGTCGTTAGCGATATACATATTAACAAAATGTAGATCAATATTAAGTACTCACTTGTCTAACCATTACGTCATATCTGATTAGAATTATATTCCCAATACTTCATTTATCTTCTAGGTATATGATAATGATAAGTTAGATAGTGAGCTGGCAAATATTGGTAATATTACTTTCCCAAAAAAATCGTATCAAGCATCGAATATTTTTGTAATAAAGTTGTAGATGCCGAATACTTACACTTAGGAGCAATGTAACGGAATCACTAGCTTTTTTTCATTTTATCGAACCCTCTATAACTTTAAAATAAATTATTCCTTTCACAAAAATTAGGATTCAGTCTACTTATCTCATTTTAAAGGTGGTCTATTATCATGGACAAGTAGTAAATGATTATGTATGGTTTTACCATTCAGGGGACTACAGGGTCTCAGTCATTTGAGAGGCGTATGAGGGGCCGAAGTCAACTATGCAGAGGCCCTCTAGACAACTATACTCTAAATGTAATGGACACACAAACCGGCGACTATCCCTGTATGCACTATGGAAATGCACCCAAGGGCAGTCCCCGGTTAGTGTAGACCTATTGTGGATAATAGAAAAGAAAAGGTAGGGCTATGGATGGGTTGCTGTGGACTGGTATATTATTATTATTATTACTATCACATAAACCTCACTCCATTTAATTTTATTCCATGAACACTCTCATTTCACCAATATGTTATGGGTCAATTAAATTATGAGTGATCTTATTGCCATATACCGGACATAGTTCCAGAATCTATCATATGTTTGATACGTTTGTGACTGTGTGTGTTTGTGTGTATGTTTTTTACTCAGTCACGTCGAAACAGCTAAAGGAATTGGGATGAAATTCAGAACAGGAATACATTATGGTCTGAATAACACAATGACATAAGTTACGTTTATCTGACGGGAACGTGGACAAAACCGTGGGCAGAATCCTAGTTCTTGTATATATAGAGATGTATAGAGATTAATGGGTTATTTATATAGATACTAGGTACCCAGACTCACGTGTGTATACTTACGATTACCTCTGGCCATCCGTAGTGTTGATTAATAGCCATTTTCTCAAGTGTTGTGTAAGGCCATAACAGTTCGACATTTGAATAGAATGTTATTAACAACATTGACTGTAATTTGACAATAAATTTTTGTATCCTTTGTTTCATTATAAAGAATTTCCATCTGTGGTTTTCTCATGGTTTTGTGGATGCATGTTATTATTTCACTTTTACCCGTATATTCGAAGGTTTACAGCCAGTCATGAGCATATCTATCTATTTTTTGACATATTTTTTATAATAATGGGCCCATGTTAAAATTCTGTTTAAAACGTACCGGCATTATAAGGAAAAGGGGATTTGATCGGGTCGATTTTTCTCGTGAGGCTAGGAGCTTCATAAACAGTCATATCACACAGCTAGCCTGACAGACCGTTAAAAATGAAAATGTCTATAGGAGTAGCTAGTACCTGTAGCTAGATTAGTAGAAATTTCGATAATCACAAAAAACCATATTCGCATATTACATTAACAATTTAACACACAACTCGCAAATAAATTGTCTTTATGTATGTATATAATTATGTATGTATTGTATGTACATAGATTAAGTAATTATTTTGATTTTAGAGCCATGGATTATGGGTTGAGAAACCCCAAAGAAAGGTATAGAACCTCTTTAGTCCATGTAATCGTCGATAGTTAGCCTTTTTAAAGAGTAACTAACAACTAATTTATTTATTCCTCAGAGTTGGTCGACTTCAGTATTGGGGGGAATATTATTTCATGGCGACCCAATACCAAACCCTAACCCTAATGCAGGAAGGCAATACGTCGTGCTCGTTTGGAAATATTGGGATTGGTTGAAGCATCGACATGTGTTTAACTTTGGGAAAGAAGGGTATGTGAACCATTATGAATGGCATTTTGTTTTTTTTTTTTGCACTTGACTCCTTTATTAGTCCAGTTGTAATATTGTAATTTCGAATCTACACCAGAAAGTTACGATATCTCATTAGTAACAATATGGGACTAATGAGATACTTAGGTAAATTAACTAGTGAAATGGCTACAGTACATAGCATGGCCCACCCCCACTATCTTTGGTAACCGTAAAAAGCTCCCGCCAGGTGGAGACACCACTATTATAGCCACAGAGTATTATATCTATGGTCCTGTAACCTGTTGTGTTGAACGTCGTGACGGCGATGACTAATTTTGAACGGCGCTAGGTAGGTAATTAACAACCTAAGGAAAAAAATAGATATGAGGTGATTCTCTATTTACAATTATGACTAATCGAAATATTTAGATGTTGTGTGATTTCCCGGATGATTAAGTATACTCGTCAAAGCTTTGTGAAAAAATTGAGTAATGTTAGGTTAAGTTTAAACGTGACTAGGTTTGGTTGTCTTATGAGTTGGTTCTTGGTAGTCTCTAAATAATCTTAAAAAGTACATATAACTCGGAAAATGTCTAGGTAGGTTTCGAACCCACACCCTCATGCTGTCATGCATGAGAAGCGGGCGCCTCGGACCACCACGACATACAATGCTCATTCGAAACTACATGTCATAGAATATTGAAGATTTGTATATTTTTTTCTTTCGAAGTCTAGAGAAGTTGTAGTATCTGTTAGTTTCAAGTTGTTATTTTTTTAAGTGATTCTCTAGAGTACCTAAAGAAAATATAATAGTCAAGTAATGTAAAGGGGACGATGGGGCTGACATATCTGTGATAAAAGACCCTAAATAGTTTTTTTTAGAATAAATAAAAGTTGATAGTTTGCCTGTATTTAGAAAATCTTTTTGATTGAGTGGTTGTAAGTGCTAGGTACTGCCGATTAAAGCACTGAGATCTCGCTCCAACTCCGGGAAAAATATGAAACGATTTGTTGATCGACCTCATACACGCTGCTATTTTAAGTAAAAACGCTGCTATTTCATATTTGTTTGAAAATATTAAATCTTAAAGCCTTTGTATTTTCATTTCTGTGGAACATATCGCATTTTGAAACGCCCATCACGTTTGTTTGTGTCGAATCGTGTACGCTACGTGTGTAATGCGTACCATTTGTGGGTCATATATTACTCGAATACACAACTATGGCTTTGTATTTATATATGAAATCGGCATAAGGGACTAAAGGTAAAATAATGTGTACTAAGTAAACCTTAGGTACAAGTGGAGTAGAACTATTTTTAAAGGTTAATTTTCGATACATACAAAAATCACCAATGAGCAATCATTAGTTATTTTTGTACGTACGTTATTAAAATAAAAACTTAGTAGTTGGTAGTTGCGTACCGTACCTACTGTGATGACTATTATTGTGCAATGACTATAGCAACCCGCATAAACAATATCTAACATAGTGACATAGTGATTGATATTACTTTGTATTGTTCACAGAGTAGAAAAAGACATTTTGGACGGTTGCAGCGTCAAAAATTGTATATTTTCTGGTGATGACGCCCTCATGGACATAGCGGACGCAGTTCTCGTTCACATTCAAAGAGGAGTGGTACCATCAGTGAAGAATAGGAACCCTAAACAGAGATGGATATTTTTGAACGATGAATCGCCAACACATGCGTTCACGTTGGCTAAGCAGCGTCCGAAAATGGAAACTCTGTACAATGTGTTTAATTGGTCCATGACATATCGGTAGGTACCTAATTAATTTAAATTGTTATATCGCTCGTATCTAACAAATTTTTCCGATTTATATAGGTAGAGATACTTACATTATAATATAATTATTGTATTAGTCTATGTGGTACCTAAAATAACATCAGGCCTTTTATCCCCGAAGGGGTAGGCAGAGGTGCACATTATGGTACTTAATGCCACTATACAATGTAACACCCACTTTTCATTATTTATGTTATGAGTCCCATGTAATAGGGAGCCTATTGCAATATACCGGACACATTTCCAGACTCCGTGCTACTATTGAGATTTTTAAAAAACTCAGTAATACTTTGCCCGACCCGGGAATCGAACCCGAGACCCCTTGCGCGGCAGTCGCATTTACGACCACTCGGCCAATGAGGCAGTATGTGGTATCTAATTCGATTTAATAGATTTCCTTCGGCTCGGCTTCAAATCGTCTGCGTACCTACTTAATTTTTTTAATCAAGTGTATTACTATGTGGTCACGCTTTTATCTATATTCGGTAATACATCCTGTTTTTTATTGCGGATCTATATTCGTGGAATGTAAAAAATATATACCATTACGTTCAGAATAATGTTGGTACTTATTTTTAAAGTCAATACAAATTAATTAAATTCGTCTATTTATTATAAAGGAAACATAGTGATAAGTTTTTTTTATATTGTGCCTAGGTAAATATTATAAAAATCTAACCTGCCTGCTGCCTGTCTATAAATAATCATAGTAATTGGACATTGATGCAAGCCACAGTCGAAATTATTGGTTTAAAATTCGCATGTAGGATTCATTTGGGACCAATTTTTAAAGTTGCCCTACATTAGGATTTTCCCCTGTTTCGTGGGTGCGTTTAAAAACATACAAGTTCACATACAAAATGACACCCAGACCCGAAACTGACCGACCCTAATTTGTGGATCACACAAAGTGTTGTCCCGTGCGGGAATCGAACCCACGACACGTTGCACGGCAGCCGGTTGTCCAGCCACCGCATCAACGGTGCAGTAAAATGTTTACTAAAAGTTAATAATAGGTACATTTTTTTTGTATTTTTCCAGGAGCGACTCTGACATACCGGTGCCTTATGGTCGAACTGTTCTTTTGCCAAAACCGGTATTAAGTGAATATAATTCGTTAGCAGAAATCGCCACATTGATACCAAACTGGGATCGAAAAAGACCAGACAAAACAGCTGCAGTGCTGATGTCTAACTGTGCAATAAAAGCAAGAAATGATTTCTTAAAAAAAATGAGGAAGTACATCGACGTAGATGTGTATGGAGGATGTTCCGACAAGAAAGAGCTTCGAACGAGGTAAATAAGTTAAGGTTTCATAAATTTCCTTCAGTTTCAAAAAGGTGGCAACAAGACTATCTGTTGTGATGTCGATTACGTATTTTCGACAAACCTAGTGTGAGATCAAATCCAAGAAATGTATATAGTATATGTGATCGATCAGATATGCTACGCATTCTTACAGAAATTAATTTAATGAAATATTGTTTCCTTTCAGTTGTCCAGGACATTTTAAATCAGATTGTGACCCAATAGCAGAATACTTTTTTTACTTAGTGTTAGAAAATACGAGTTGTTATCAATACTTGACTGAGAAGGGATTTTACCATGCGTACTCGAAAGGTGCAATACCAGTTATATTTGGACCATCTCGTGAAGACGTTGAGAGCCTGTTACCACCAAATTCTTACATATTTGCTGATGCGGACACGGATATAGAAAATCTAGCCAAAGATATAAAGGCTGTTGCGTCAAACGTTGATCTCCTTCTCTCGATGCATACATGGAGGAATCATTTCGAAGTTATCAATGAACACGGATATTTTGGCACAAAATCTTATCATCTATGTCGTGTTTGTGAAGCCCTAAATTATAATAATGAAGAAGAAAAAGTTTATGACAGTGAACTTTTGGATATGTTCTTCGACCCGTCAAAATCGTGTTACGGATAAAAAAAAGTGAGCGAAAATGTGTGATATTATTGTTATATGTACATACTTGTTACATTATAGAAATAAATAATAAACGTTGTTGTTTAATGAATTAGCTGTAATAAAACTTAATGTTTGTTTATTAAGTATGATAAGATTAAGTGTGGGAGAGCCATGCTTCGGCACGAATGGACCGGCTCGACCGGAGTGATACCACGGCCTCACAAAAAACCGACGTGAAACAACGTTCGCCATGTCCATGTTTTTGTCGTGTGAGACCCCCACTTACTCTCCTCTACAATCTCCCGAATCCTCAAATTCCCAACTATCCATAAATTCCTAAACCTCAAAAGGCCGGCAATGCACTTGTAGAGGTATCGCCTTTGGTGTTCCGGGTGTTCATGGGCGGCGTCGATTGCCTATCATCCGTCTGCTTGTTTACCGTACCGGCTGATCCCATAAAAAAGTATGAATGGAATTATCGAATCAGATGATCTCTTAATATTTATCGCATAAATGAAGAGACGAGGTACCCTATCCCTTCAACACAACTAATCGCTCGGGGAAAAACACAGCGATAAGTAGCGAGTGGTTACTACGTAGTGTCATGATAATTATACCGGCAATTGTTCAATCATTTATATTATGGTATAGTATTAAGTATGTATAAAAATGAATCACTATATCGAAGCTGCCTGAAGAACCCGAAGCCGCCGTAAGGCATCCGATCTGTACCGAGCCTCACCGATGCCCACCGAAAGTGGGCGCCGGGCCTAAGGAGATGCACAAATATAAAATTTTTAATCTACAATCCCCAACCCGCATTTATATTATTAAGGAGATTATGGCAAACTTCTCTTATACAGAGGAGGCTAATATTCCGGCAGTGGACAAGCATGTACATTTTAGAAATATGTGTAACTATGAAGCCCTTGACGTTTCGAATATTTGTTTACTTAAGGTCGATTTTTCAATGATCAGTTAATTCTTAACTGTAGAGTAAAATTAACATTTGGCAGTTATTATTAAGAAAGAATTTTCAAATACACAAAGTTATTTAATACAATTTAAGTGAGATTTTTTTCAATGCTCTTAAATACAATAAATAGACAATCAAAATCGGCCGAAATATTATGCGTCTAAGTTCTGATGACTTGCAGTTTTCATACAAAATTAACGTTAAACTGTGACGTCATAGCACAACGTCCTATACATTGTATTTTTTTAAACATAGTAAAATGTGGTAGCTGGGTTAAGCTATTTAAGATACAAATGCATAGATTATTTATAATTTTACGTCACAGTAACATTCTTCATTGTTAATTTAATATGTGTTTAGATAATAGTTTCATATAACAAATTAATTAATTTTCTTACAGCTACCTACAATAAATTTCCAACTGATTTTTAAATTGATTAGGAAAATAACAAGTAGGTTATCGAATTTTAATTGGATACGCTGTTTGATAACAACATCTAATTATTATTTTTAAAATAGCTTTTATTCGTGGCTTTGCTTGCGTGAATTTGTCTGTCCTTTTCAATACTTCTTAACTTTAAGTTACTTGGAAACAAGACTGGCTGAGAGTAACGCGAAAGAGGTCACAAACAAGGTTTTATATACTTTCGTATCAATGTATTATACTCTGAATTTTACTTCGATTCCAGATTTGACAATTTCAGTGTTGCAACGTTATGACAAGTACTAAATAGTTACGTTGCGAAATTATTCCATATGGGAATGGAATATTTCTGGATCGATTCTTCTCGTTTATAATTTTACTCTCGTAAACTAAGTATATCAGGAAATTAAATATTTCTAACTGCTAATTTAGTTTTGACGATTAATTAACGACTTTTCTTTTATAATTGTGTGTGAAATAAATAAAAAAATGTAATCATGAAGGAACATGACAAATAAAACAGATAGATGTAATACGGTAATAATTTATTTTATAAATTGTCGCCGTCATCGCTATCGCTATCACTGTCACTTTCTGTAACATTTATAATAAAACACACACACTGCTTGTTTATCGATTTTTGTGTTCATCACTACACTATTATATGTGGTATCATTATTTCACAAAATGACAGTAGCTAATGTCAAATCTGGAATCGAATTAAAATTCTGACTATAGTTAAGAATTTTTCATTTTATGAAAGGTATCACTCAGAAAAGGTTTCAGTATTAATCACCACGCTTCTTCAAGGTGGATTAGCCATTTCAAACTTATACGTGATTAGAAATTATAAGTTCAGGTTATCCTTATCTTATGTCACTGATGTCTAAATGAACTTAATAAGTACATATATCTCGGAACGGGAAAACATTACAGTGATACTTTCCTGGTTTCGGACCTGACCATTAGCAGCGTGTGTCTTAAACCTCCGGGCTATTATGAATTACGTAATGTACACTAATTTTGTTTATGTTTGAATTTCAAAAGAAAATAACCCAATTTGGTATTTACGTAGGTATTGCGTTGATAAGTCACCATTTCGCATTTACTTACTTGTAATCAGTCTATGTTCCGTTCTCATATAAAATTTATTACATGGATAATAATAATATGTCAGCCTCGTTGGCCGAGTGGTCGCAAGTCCGATTGCCGCGCAAGGAGACTCGGGCTCGATTCCCGGCAAAAAATTATTGTGTTTTTAAGAAATTCTCCATAGTAACAGGGAGTCTAGAAATATGCCTGGTATATGGCAATAGGCTAACCCTCTATTACATAGGACTCATAACATAAATAGTGAAAAGTGGCTGTTATTATTGTAAAGTGGCATTAAGTCGCATAATGTGCACCTCTGCCTACCCCTTCGAGGATAAAAGGCGTGATGTTATGTTGTGTTATGTAATAATATGAAAATCAGTAGGCCAACCATTGGTCGAGATGCCACAAGTGTGACCCTTAAGAACGCCAAGTATGGTTTGTTTGGTTTTCATTCTCTAGTCCAGTTCAGCATTGTGGAGTATTTTTTGGCCAGTGCTCGGTGTATAGTAATAGGCTCATCTTCATTGCATGGGCCAAAGTATTATTTGTATTAAATATTGTAATAACCACTTGCAGTACCACAAAATAACCTAAGTAAGTATTATCAATAAAATAAATATTGATAATCGATTAGAGTTATCGAAATGTTTATCATTTCGACTTACTAAATTGTTTGACCTACGCAAAATAACGACGGCTCAAATACTTTAATGGGGACAAGCCGTGAGTCGTGGCGTATTGTAGCCATAAAATCTGAACAACAATATTTTGTCATTAAAAAATAGTACTAGTTAATGTAAGTAATGTAGGTTATGAAATAGTATTTTTTTCGAAACTTTCTTAGCGTAGATGACTAATTTTTATTTTAATGTCCGTCTGGTAGATTGTTTTATAACATTACATACGTATTTTTTATTATTTTTTTACAGAAACGAATACTTTCGACAATATATTGATTTGAAATGTCGCGTGACGTCACTTCTATGTATATTTTCTACGTAGAAATGACGTTACAGCCCCCACTCCTAAACTTTGATTCGTTATATCTAAGTATCATTTTATTATACAACAAAATAAAAAAGATACGTGTCTATATTTTCATTACCTAACTGACGGACTAATTTGCTACATTTTAAATTTTCATACCCTGTCATCATCCCTATTCTAGATCATCTACCCTAATAAAGAAGACTACGACTTAATTTGACAGCTTACAGCCGGATAAGACGGCCATCAAACGTATTTTCATTCAAATGGTCCTCGTCATTGCACCATAAACGCTCAGTTCCCGTTTATTGACCTCGAGGGCGATTTTGTTACCACCACTTAAGACGTAATGGATTTTCTTTCACACCAACTTGCATTTAGGCCTATTTGTTCGGAATCTCAGCTCCTCAACACGTTCGCGATCAATTTCTCGCTAAATGGGCATTAAGGCACCATTCGAGCAAAGTTTTACGTAAGTTACGATCGATGCGTATTCGTTGAAGCGATTTACAAAATTGCTCTTATATCCAAGTTTCAAGTTCTTGCGGTATACCTGAACTAAGTTCACTTGTTATGCCCAAGAATAATGCTCAATATTTGGAGGAGTTCACAACTTTTCAACGATCACGAAAAACTTGTTTGTTATTCGACTGCATGGCTAACGGCTCATTTTTCAGTCTAGTAGTTCGAGAAATCTTTTGTTCGAGCTATTATAAGCAGGTATTCAATATACTTGTGCAAATAAAAAGGTAAATAGAATTTATTGCTCTTTATAAAAGTAGATCGATTCAGCTACGAACAGTCAAGAAGGTTATTTTTGCTCTCGTGAATTAAGGTGGGATCCTTTTCTCACTAGTTGTGATATTAGTCCGATTGTAACCGTGAGCAAATCTATTATTATACGTGCGGCTCATCTCTAAATGTTTATGTTAAAGTGCATAATAATCACAATAGAACTTTAGTACTACTTACTTATCTATCTAGTTCGAAGTAGCAGCTGTAGTCAAATGCCATTTAGCGCTTGTCTACATGTAGAAAAGAAAACCAATTTGTATGGAATTGACGTAAATTTTGACACTTGTCAGTGTCACATTTAGTTTTCTACTCTCTCTGTAGACAAGCGCTAAAGTGGCGTTTGGCTAAAGGCACAGATACTATCTCGAATTAGTTATAGAGACCAACAAAATGAAATGCTGCTGGTAATCGAAATTGTTTGAAATGTTTGGTAAACAAAACTCCAATTCTTCATTTGTCTTTCCTCGAACAGTTACAATATGTGGTTGGTTATTTTTCTTTACTGTCACCTATAAAAAGTGGTTGTAACACACTCATAGTTTCGGATACGAAAGTAGCAAACTAAATATGAAGTTATACGATTCTCATTCTAATGTAGATGTGGTAAGGCTGTTTGTTTACTGGCACGGTTAGATAACAGGATCAACAGTTATGGCGGAGGGTAAATGATTAGGTGTGTACACTTTACTCGTATCGTGCGTGATGTACTCTCAAAAATGGTCGTCTCTTCTTGCCGACTTGTACAGACAATAAAGGAGATTAGGTTTCCGTATAAGTTTTCCTCCGTGAGACATTACCAAATAAAACCTACGAACGTTTGTTTTCGTGAAAGCA